ATACATTATTAAAGTTCTTTGTTACATTTAGGAATTAATGAGCTTCTCGAAGGGCTAATGAAAAAGAGGAAGGCTTGATGTAAAGAGTACATGCACAGAATTAGGTTAAATGAATGAGAAGGGAAGTTAAGAACGAGGGAGGAGAGGGGTGGAAGAGGGGAGAGGGTTAATAACAGTAATGTTCTGCGAGGCTTGGTCCCCATAATCTTGCTTTCTTGATTCGATGCTGGTAAATTTTTATCGTAATTATGTAGAACACAAAAATTCTCTCCTCATAAATTCTTTTTTAAAAAATTTGGTTGAAGACCAGTTCTCTCACAATGGCGCCAACCAAAATTTTCCCAAATCGAGTTATTTCAGAACCAAATCTGACTGATATTTGTGCTATTGCAAATCCATGTCAAAATAATGGCACATGTATCTTTGTATGGAAGAAGAATACGCATTACTGTAAATGTCAGCCAGGATATACGGGTAACAATTGCACTGAGAAAATAGGTAATGGTTTCTCTTTCTTTATTTTTCTGATTTTGTACTATTTTTAATGTTCTTAGCCTTTGAACGGGCTATATGTTGATCTCTAGATTTTGATCCTTGCGCTTCAAATCCATGTCAAAATGGTGCCACATGTACGGCTAAAGTGCAACAGGGTAAACCAACATACGAATGTTATTGCGCACCAGGATTTGGAGGACCGAAATGTGATCAAAGTGAGAGATTTGCAAATGAAAGCATTATTACATCCTTAAAAAGTTGAAGCCTAGGGCCATGTGACGTTAATCCGTGCTTACACAACGGGACATGCAGGACAACGGCTGGATTTAGCTCATATTTTTGTGATTGTAAGGATGGGTACGGAGGAAAGAACTGTGATATTGGTAAGTTGTAAAAAAAAAGAAAAGAAAGGTGCAGAAAACTAGTTTTAATATACTTTGCACAAAATCAATAGCGTCACTGGAAGAACAGCAGCGGGAAAAGAAAGAAAATCTGTTTTTACATTAAGTTGTATTTCTTTTCTTATCTAAAACTTGATCCTTTTCTTCCAAAAAAGGAACATGTACTTAATTGATTGGTAAATTTAAGAGACTCAATCGCTTTTTCAAAGAAGTGTTTATCGCATGACTGACGCGACTGCTTTGAATCTCACTCTTATTCTACTTTTAGAATTAAATTTAGTTAGTTTATGTCTTGCAAATTTGAGCAATGCCTTTAGTACAACGTTGCCCTTGCAAAGGCTTCTGCTCAAACATCTGATCATGGCGTAAGGAAAATGAAAACAGCAAAAAAAATTGATAGGGACCAGTTCTCGTTTTTTTACACCTTTTATGGCCTAGAGGACGTAAACATAACAATACACATTTTACTGCATCTTCTCGCACATTGGCACTTTTATGTAGCAGAATCAATAATGAAATT